GAAGACACCCTTGTCCACTAGCCAAACAGTTGAGACACATGAGACATTGTTCATGATACAGCAACACCATTGGTTTATTTCTTGCCAGTCAAGACATTAAAGGAGAGTTGAGGACAAGTAGACACTATAATTGAATTTTAGATGTGTGTTAATTGCTGAGTTTACAGCGACAGATTAACGTCAAGTAGCGTGGGCGCTACAATGTGGAATAAAAGTTTAGGGTGTAAGTGTGTGCAAGGTGTACATCTGTATTATACGAAGCCGCCCAATTCCATGTAGTGTCCAGCAATCCTGCCCCTTCCGCATATGGAGTTCTTTTTATATAAGAGACAGAAATATTGCACCACTAGCCCCAATCTGCCCGACAGGCAGAATGACCAACAGATCAAAGGCTGACAGCGTGCACCTTGTTTGTGAGATCTCTCGTAATACAAATTCCATATTTCTAGTGTCGATAGAATTTTTATGATTCAACTTAGATTTAACATACATGTAAATCCTGCAACGTCTTCTCCCTTCTTTTCAATCTGTGACCAGAATTGTGAGACTGGATGTTATACACACAGGGAGCAAAATCGGGTTGTCTAAGGCTTCATGAAATTAGTTTCATTGTTCAAATATATAAACGCGCCCGGCCCTTTTAATTTGGACTTTATTTTGGAAACTGGATATAAAGTTGAAACCTTCCAAATTCATTGTTCCTGTTTTGGATTTAAACTCTATTCTTAACCTAATGATAATTTCTCCAATAGTTTTGTTGACAAAATGACTGGCTGTAGTCATTATTGAAAGAGTGATTATTTTCTGATTAGTATTGTTGAATATAACTGTTCAAAGGGTGTATTGACAGGGAAGAAAGACTGAAGAATCTGTCTCACAAAGTGCAAGGTGCAGACAGTCAGCCATTGTGTTTTCCAAAGTAAGTTGATAAGCATATCTATAACAATTGTGTTGATTCAAACAGACTAATGAGACCATTAATGGGCCATTATACGTTTCGTGCTACTTTTGGAAGGCCCAGACGAACATTGAAGCCAACAGAGTAACCTGTGGGAATTTCGCAAATGGACCTGACTGAGATTAGAACTGAACCAAACCGGATCGAACGAAAGGATTTCGGCAAACAGACTTCTACAAGTACATTTCAGAACCTCCATTAAAAGTGGAAATGAATGAATCTGGATAAACAGAGCCAGAACAAAGCTCAAACCATTTTTTTATTCCTCTCAAGTTCATAAGAAGCAGGGGAGAGAAGGAACACCATACAGTGTCTTACTTCCCTCTATTTATCTCCATGTTTGGAGTATACAATTTACTAAATGTTAGAAAAAGGAAAACATTAGCTAACCCTTTTTTAGTGTGGATTACTTGCAAAATGTGAACATGCCAGCTACAACTGCTACCATTAGCGAGATATTGTTACCTGAATGTCATTCTTCTCATCACGTAATCTAGAAAAAGCGTCATTTAGCGAGATTTGGCGGAAACAATGCATGAAGTTTGCTGTGAAGCGGTGTATTAACTAAGGTGATGAGAAGTAATCTGGTAAATCTAATATTTATCTACAAAATAATTACCCTCTCTTTATTCGTACCTGCTTTGTTTATTCCACCCAATGAATTGACTGTAAAAATCAAAACTGTTGTACCAACGGGATCCCTTCAGAAGGCACGGTATATATTTCGGTCAATACACACAATTCCAAAGCCCCAGCGTTATAAGTGACGGTAAGTTTAAATTTGGTGTACATAAAAACAAAGATAATAGACAGGTCCATGGAGAGTATGGCCTCTTATGTCAATCTTCGATAAAAAAATTCTTTCCTATTGGCATTTTTTGTCCTGCATACCTACTGTACTGTGTGTGTGCTTAAGCTGTGGCTGCTAGAATATACCTTCCAAATCTGCATCGAATCCAACCACTGCAAATAGGAGGGGCAGCGCTTGATCAACTTGCAATTCCTCTTGGTCAGTGATTGGATGGGGATTTGATCTAATTCTTGGATTTATGCAAGATATAAAAAAGGATCAGCCTGGCTGCATCACAGTGAGTGCCATAGTTTCACAACCCTAACCTTCTTTAATTTTTGCAATGTTTTCAATAGATGCATTTCTTTCTGGTAACCGTCCTTTCGTTCGGCATTGTTCTTGGGAACTATGTCATGCTGCGACCTGCAAATAACGAACTGGAAGAAGAGCGGGGATATGAGCCTGATAAAACTCCAAATAGACCCAATCAGCAGCAGATAGCATTTACTGCTGTCCGGTCAAACGACACGCAACCCTGCTACAACCACACAACGCCTTTAGCCTTCCAGCAGACCGTAACACTTCTGCCAGGTACCAGCTTTGACCTCAAGAATGGTACGTTTACCTGTACTGTGCCAGGCACCTACGCGTTCTCGTTCTCGGTTAACAAAAATGGTCCCGGTCCCGCCATCGTCCTTTTCGTTCATCTCAAGAAAAACAAAGAAATTATCGTCTCTGCTTGCAGTCGTTTTCCAAGTCATTACGAACAGCTGTCTGGGAGTGCAGTGCTTGTACTTGAGCGAGCAGACGAAGTGTATTTGACTGTATATGGTAGTGTAGCTGGTGGTGGCGATTATCATTTCATCTCATTTACCGGTTTCTTGCTTTACGCCAGTTAAAGGGTCCATGCGACTAGTGCTCCTGTTCTAAGTATGAGACAATTTGTCGGCCCTTTTGGTTTAAGTTTCATAAAAAGAGCTCTTTAAATAATTCAATAATGATTATGGGCGTTTTTGCTGTGCTGACAGTCTGGTTAGAAATTTATTGGGTTCGTTCATTTAGCTTCCCAGGGGGGGCTAAACCGGGGTCAGCGAGTGGAAGCAAATTAAACGCACTCATTCATTCAGTACTTGATTTTTTTAATTTGTTGTTTGTTTTTGCAAAATTGTGAAAGCAACATTTTCCTGTTGAAATTCCTTTCGCTTATTGACATGAACTCAGATTACCATGGATCATCAAAGAAAAGAAATTTCGCACCGGAGTATATGATAAAGTCAACTGCGTTGTTGTGCACAAATTAATACAAATATAAACTAAGTTTTTCGTGCCCGAATGACACATGTTTTTGCTCTTAATAATTTGAAAATATATGTGCATTTTAAATTACTGTATAAAAAGGAGTTGCGTTGCATGGATCCTTAAAGCTTAAATAATATGAAATGGTAGTAGACGTGCTGCATAGCTGAATAAGAAAGTAACTGCCTGTTTAATTTTCAGTGTATGCCTTTCTTTCTCCAAGTAGATAACTCTGATTCTTTTACGACTACGAAGCGGGGATGTTGTAACCTGCTATATCAAAATTATATGTATTTTTATTACATCTAGTAGTTAAGACACTGAGAATTGTGTAGACTTTACTGGATGTACTGGATTAGGAAATTCACTTTAAAATTTAAGTTTGAACGGGTCCAATTCGGGCGATTCACAATAGTGCGCCTTCAAGAGTTTACAATGCGCAAAATCTGTCAACCCTTTCTAAATGCGCATTAGGTCTACAGATTTCACTATTGTGAAACAGCCGTATTCTCTTTCACCACTGGTGTTACATTTGTGTTCCTCTACTTAAAATGGTGAATTTCGACAGTGTAATCTTGTTTACTCGTAATATTTACTGTATGTTCAGACTGCTTCAAGAGCTGCCCGCACCGCGCAAGATTTGGCTCCTGCGAACGATGCGGTATGTTAATGAAAAACTTACTATTTAATGGTGGTAGGCCAACGATCGTCAAAATACAAAGCAAAATTTATGTTCTTTCGAAATGTGCAGCATTCTGGCCTGATATATTTTACAGATTAGCCGATGATGTTATTTACCTTCTTTTATGTAAGATTTTTGGAAGATTATTTAGGATTCCATTTTTGTGATTATTCTAATGGTATATGTTGAAAGAATAAAAATCCTTTTAACAGGGCCACTGAAATCTCCAGTTTTGGTGTTGGCATCTATATTTACCGTTTAACATGCTGAGTACTAGCCACAATGTCCAATACTGTTACGAATAAAAGATTTTAATGGAACAAATCCCACTGTATTTTAAAAGACTTTTAGGCAGTGATTTGGTGACTAATGATATATTGGTTATATTCATGGTTCCAAAAAGCTGCCACGGATCCACAACTCTGCACCAGTTTGCATTTAATTGGCCCCTTTTCTTGCACTTATGACTTTTGAGGGTTTCACAAAAGGTGGATTCTGGAAATGATTCTGGCACTAATTATTCATGAAGTGGGCCAATCAGAATTACTTGTGCATTAACTGGTAGCCAATCACTGCACATTCTTCAGACCAATCACAGTCTATTCTTTTAGCCAATCGGGCTTGGGGTCAGATTACTTCTGCTAGGTAATGCTAGTTTAGGGGGGAAATTCTAATAAGAGGTTCATTCTGTTACAGCCTCTTGGGCAAGCTGGGTCAATTTGCTCGCCACCACTCAGGCACCTGCCTTTGATCAGAATATTTGGTTTTAGTGTGTTTTTAACAGGATTAAGATAATATTTCCCAATACATACAAGATATGACATGTATCTTTACTGTTATGATAAATTGTAACAATGATATTATTGTTGATATTGATGTTTTCCATAATACACGGCAATTTGAAATTTGTAAGGGGTCAACCACACCCTCATATGTACCCAAGGGGGTGGGGTGCTGTATGTTCCACAGCATAACCCGTGCTGACCCCAAAAGATTAGATGTATCATATTATTATTTCATGATTATTCCTGGGGCCTGGGAGCCCATTCATTATGGTTGGCCTGTAAGCCAAATGACAATAGATGTACATATATAGAATAGATGTAAAAAAATTAATAATCGAATCTGTGGAAAATAATCTGCCTTGACGGTTGTTCATTTGTGAATCCGAGTATAACTAGAATAGAAACAGAATCTACCACCGAGACCCATTTATCTCCAGATAATATATGATGATGATGATAAATTTCTCCACGCTGATGCGTTTTATGAATACGTGCGATTCACAGTAGTACGCCTCCAAGAGTTTATAACGCACTGGCCAATTATAATGGGCGAAATCTGTCGACCCAATGCACGTTTGGAGAGGGTCGACGGCTATTTTGCCGTTTGTTACGACAACACAGCTAGCGGCCAATCAAAAATTAGGACAAGGTCCATGGTCACAGGCTATCGAATCGCTAGCAGGATTAAAACTACGAGAAGCCGGCCACCGGTTGCAGTCCTGACACCGAGTACAACACTCCTGACAGCGATTACAACCCGCGTCTGCCTTTTTGCAACAAGAGCGATTTGATTCCTTAAAAGTTACAAAGGTAAGGCGTCTAATACAGTTGATTTCATTCAGAATGTTATTACAGTTTAAGCAAATGTTGAAATCTTTTATTTTATTATACCCTCGCGAATAGAAACTCAGATTTTGTGGTAGTTTCAGAAATTCTGAAACACACAACGTATTCGCGCAATAATTCGCCAATGACAGACGACTGACACCCAGCATGTGCCCATGGGATCTTCCGAAGTATAAATTCTGCATTTCAAGCTGCCCATTTTAAATCCTACATCCTTCCTTTCAATCTCTGACCAGCGATATGAGACAAAATGATAATTATACATATGGATGACAAAATTGGGTTGTCCTGGGGGTTAATGAATTTATGCCAATGTTCAGAAACAAGCGTAGTTCTTTTGAAACTTTGACCTTATTTGATTAGGATTGTGGAAACTGGATAGTTTTATCCTTTCACGAGCTTCCATTTTCCTGTTACGTTGCACTGTACTGAACGAAATGCATTGAAACTCTGTTCTCAAACTAAAGATAATTTCTGCATTGTTTTTGTTGACAAAACATGATGATATGGCAGTAAGCGCAACGGCCGTTGTTATTGAAACGGGGATTATCTCTTGATAAAAGTTTTAGTGAATACAGTTCAAAGGGCGACGGGAGAAAGAAGGCAGAATCTGTCTCACAAAATGCAAGGTGCTGACAATCAACCACTGTGTTTTGAAAAAAATATTTGATCAACATCAAATTCAATTATACTACTGGACATGGACACAAAAGGTGCGCTGGGAAGTCGGAATTTTGCAGTACATAAAGGACCGACAGGCTTTGGGCGGCCTCTTTCCTTTTTGCAAGTTTCTCAATAGGAATCGTCCAATTTTTTTTCCCGGGCTGTGACGCCACGCATCAGACAATGACACTCTGCCGTTAATGTTAGCTGCCCATCTTCCCAAGACCGTTCCATTCTGAGCGGAAGGGCGCTGGGGTCGTTTCAATTTTCAACTTGTCCAGTTTTGGACCACCCCGCCATCGTCAAAGTAAAATCCAGATTTCTGCAAGGAGAAAAGTCGGTTTTATGAAAAGGGGTGGGGCAACTTAAAGAAAACCCAAAATCTACTGGCAGAAAATGAGAAAACGGGGTTGTCCACTTTTGATGCTCCATACTCATCAAGTTATCTTGAAAAGGTGTCATTTGGCGACAGTTCATTTTGGATGACAAAAACTAATCAATTTGCTTCGACGCAGAGTATTCGCTGTAGTGACGGGAAGTAATGTCATGAATTTGGTAAATCGAGTACCGGTATTATTTTTGTTTTATTCGTAAACTTTTTTTTTCAATAGGCCTGATGATGAACGATTCCGTACAGGAAAAAAAAACACATATATTTGGCCTACAAACACGTTGCCAAACACCCCAACGCTACAAGTGACATTACGTTTAACTTCGGAGTATGCACTCACTCAAAACCAAGATAATAGGCATAGAGATAGTATGACTCCTATTTTTAGCCTTTTTTCTCTGTTTACCGTCCTTTCCCTGTTCATTACCCCTTACTGCGTGCATTCTGCTATTGTGTGGAGTTAACTAAATTGTAGCTGATAGAATATTTCAACTTCCAAATCCACGTCAAATCCCAAAACCAAGTAAATATAGAGGTTTTATCAAACCAGCAAATCTTCTTCGTCTAAAAGTGGATGAACATGTATTTTCCCTCTCTTGGAATTTATACCAGAAGTAAGCTAGGGAAAGGATTGATCGTATTAAATCTGACGGCACCACTTTAGGAGAGGTGAAAACCTTTACACAAAACGCTGTTAAGTTATAAGTGTCTTTTGTTGCAATAGTTTCGAAAGCCTAACTTTTTCAATTTTTGAAATGTTTCCAATAGATGTATTTCCTCCTGGTAACCGTCCTTTTGTTCGGCTGTTTTCTTGGAAACTTTGTCACGCTGCAACCTGTGAACAATGAACTGGACGAAGGCCAAAAATGTGAGCCCAAGGAAACTCTTGATAGACCCAATCTGCAGCCTATAGCATTTACCGCTGTAAGGACAACCGACTCGATACCCTGCTACAACAACCATACAACACCTTTGGCCTTCGAGCAGACCCTGACACTTCTGCCAGGTACCAGCTTTGATCTCAAGAATGGTACGTTTACCTGTACTGTGCCAGGGACCTACGTGTTCTCGTTCTCGGTGTACAAAAATGGTCCTGGTCCCTTTCCCGGCCTTTACGTTCATCTAAGGGAAAACAACGAATGGATTGTCTCTGGTAGCAGTGGTTACCCAAGTCACTATGAGCAAGTGTCTGGGAGTGCAGTGCTTTTTCTCCAGCGAGGAGACGAAGTGTATTTGACCTTATATGGTACTGTGGCCGGTGGTGACTTCTATCACTTCAACTCCTTCAGTGGCTTCTTGCTTTACGCCAGTTAATTAGTCCAAATGACCAGAATTCTTCACGAATAATTGTTTTATTGTTAAAACTGGTTAATGCCTCTTTGGGCTAAGTGTCAAAAGGGGCACTTTGAAATCGCTGAGGGCGCTTTTGCTGTGATGTCAGTCAGGGAAGACACATTGGGGTTTAGTTCAACGGGGAAACCTGGCATGCCCAGGTGTACCAAGTCAAACAAGGTACATGTTGGGGACGAGGTAAACCTGAGTCATCCAGTGGAAGCTAATCAAACGTACCCCACTCAGTCCATACCATTTGTTAGACAGAATAGTGGAACCAACATTTTCGCATTGAATGCTCTTGATTTTTTTGCCATGAGCTTGCACGACAAGGGATCATCAAAGAAAAGCAATTAAGCTTGTACTATGTAAGGAATTCCTATATTTCATTATGCAGAAAGCAATGTCAGTTTTTCTCTGGAATGACATCATGGCTTTGCTCATGGATGTGGAATGATGCTCATAATTAGAAATTGGAAAATACACATGCATTTTTAATAATAAGCGTTATTGTATTGACCTTGTTGAGCTAAACATACTTGGGTAAAGTTTCAAACTATCAAAAGGCGTTTAAAAGTTCCAGAAAACTGGTAAAAAATAGATACTTTTCCTGCTACAAGAAGGGAATGTTTGACACAGTTTATTAAAATTCATCATTAGATGTATTAACAAAATCTCTGGGAATTCTTCATCAAAAAGATGAAGATCAAGGATATAAGGCTATGAAATATGATAAAAGGGAAAATTTAGGGTCTGTAATAGTTTGAATTGTAAACTTTACTTGTTATTGGTGATTGCTCACTTCATCAGGAAATTCAATCTAGAATGCACCTTTAAACTCTGCCATAATTTTTTTTTCATCACAGGTGTCACATTTGTTTTCCTCTTCTTAAAGTTAAAAATACGTTTGGTGAGTTTTGACGTCGCTTTTTTTTCTTCCAATCTTAATATTAACCGTTTATTCAGAACTGATTCAACAGCTGTACACTCTACACACAAAAATAGGTGTTCGCATGCATTGTGTAAAAATGATCGTACCTTTAAAACAAAGCTTCTCACAAAAATGCGGATAGATTTGCCGTTGCTGTTATTTATTCCCTTTGAATTAGGATATTCAAGGATCCCGTTTTTGTGATTTACGGATGGTGTTACCTACATTTGAAATAAGAATTTATCTTTTTGGTGATAAGCAGGGCCATTGAAATC